ACGAGAAGAAGAAGAAGATAACTACCAAGAGTAAAACGTGGAACGTGAAAAGATAATTATGGTTAATTAAAATAAAATAAAAATTACAAAAATTACTTAATTACATTATTGTCCTTACTAAATTATTTATATATAATAAAAGTTAATTTATTAATTAAAAAAGTTTGAGGTTATTGGGTTGTTCTCGCATTCTCGTAAATCACAGGGTTCTCGTTTGAACCTCCACCTATATATATATATATATATATATACACACACTTATACCTTGGTATTCACACGTAACATTTATGATTACATGTCATGATACAATATGCTAACCGTAGATTTTTACTTTGATTAATCTCATGTTTATACACACCTTAAAAATGTTACTGAATGTGTTTATAAATTTATAATAATGACTTATTATCATTGAGGTGAAGGATTCTGTAAGAAAAAGAATTAAGATGAGAAATGCAAAAAATGATACGTACCATTGAATCTTGATCATCTTTAGTCATTAAATAGTTTTAAATAAAATTTCAAGATCATTCATAATTCCTAATCCGTCTGAATTTTTTTGATTGAGAACAAAATGACAAAAAATGGAATATGTTTTCGGATCAAAGAAATATAATCGATAATTGCAATAATTACAATGATTAAATAGGTTATTTTATATATGGCATATGCCCAATACAAATACCATAAGGAAAAGTCGACTTAGCATATATTTTGCTCCCCCTTTTTATTAATCGTGATTCACACAGTTGTACGCTGTTGACTACCACCATTTTAATACTAAAATTAGTATCTTATTCTTAATTCATAAAATCAGCTTGTTGAAAATGTCACAATATTATTATAGAAGGCACGTGAATGAAGGGTTTTTTCTCTCATGCATCGGGTAACAACCTTGATTATTATTATGTTTCTTACCAGGTAAAGTTCTCGTCCTTTGTCATGCTCACTCGGTAATGAAAGTGACCCTGTAAAACGCTTACCCGATAAGTATTTAGTAAACAACGCAAAATATATGTATATATATATATAGGGGCAAGTTTATTTGTTAACCCAAATTATGGTGTTAAGTTTGTTAACCAATCTTGACCATTCTTTAAAATTTGTGGCTAAGATCATTCATGACATAAATGTAAATAATTGCACATATAGAAAAGGTAACATAAGTGAACAATATTTACAAGAGGTATTTTGGGAAAAGATTTTAGTTGTCCATTGATGATAGTGAGACGTTATGTAACCGCCCATTAATGACAATGGTTGTAACAGTCCATTAATAACAATGAAACTATTTGAGAATTAATCTGGTCATCGAATCAAAACCAACAGCAAGATCTCCGATACCAGATTCTTCTACAGTTTTTTTTGTTAATGGTTCATATATGAACAAGTATTTGATATTTATGGGAATTGTTCATGTGTGTGTTTGACATAAGGGTTCATATATGTCGAGTCGTGTTCATATGGTTGTATGAATGTTCATATATGTAAATTTGTGTTCATATGGTCACACATGTTCATCATCTTTCGTATGTTTATTTATGTCAATATATGCATATTTATACCAATTGTACATATATGTCAATCTGTGTTCGTAATTGACACAAAGGTTCATATATGTCGAGTTGTGTTCATATGGTTGTACGAATGTTCATATATGTGAATTTGTGTTCATATGGTCATACATATTCATCATCTTTCGTGTGTTCATTTGGGTAAATGTGTGTTCATATTTATACCAACTGTACATATAATTCAATCTATGTTCGTAATTGTCACAAGGGTTCATATATGTCAATTTGTGTTCGTAGTTGACACAATGATTCATATATGTCGAGTTGTGTTTATATGGTTGTACAAATGTTCTCATATGTGAATTTATGTTCATATGGTCACACATGTTCATCATCTTTCCTACATGTCAATTTGAACGATACCGAAAACTTTATTACCGGCTATCCTCCACCAATCACAAATTCATAAACATTAGAGATAGAAAAAAAGAAAATTACATATATAACCTTGTCATTAAATTCTAAGATAGATAAGAACTTGATATTAAGATGGATTATGATTGATTGAAAATGGTTAACAAAGTTAACAGAATAATCGGGGTAACATTTAAACCAAACGCTCTCTCTCTCTCTCTCTCTTTATATATATATATATATATATATATATATATAAAGGGAGGTTCAGGGAAAATCCCAAAAAAATTAAAAACTAGAAAGCACCCTAGTAATCATTAATTTGGATTGTATGCATATGTGTATACAAGTAATTGAAGTTGTTTTTTTATTGCTATACACATGTACATACCAGACAAATCGCTTACAAATTATTTGTATGCACATGTGCATATGTAAAGATGAATGGTTGTCATAGTGTTCCTTAATTTTTTATTTTTTTTGCAGTTTTCCCCTAAAACTGGCCCTATGTGAAAAACACAAAAAGTTAATAATGAAAAACTGAATAACACCTTTGTAACCATTCATTTTGACGGTATGCACATATACATACAAGTAATTTGTACACAATTTGTCCGATATACGCATAACATACATATGTGCATAAAAACCAAGAAACAACTTCAATTACTTATACACATATGCATACCATCCAAATAAATAATTACCAGAATGTCCTTCACTATTTTAAAATTTTTTTACTTAAGTTTATATATAACATTATCATTATCTATTAGATCCTACGAAATACGTGGAATTATAATTTATTAGCTTATAAAAAAGCTAGAATTATGATTATTATAATAATTATTGTCGGTAGGGAAGGAGCGTGCAACTTATGGCTAATTAATCAAAGTTAATATCACTCCACATGCTACCAAATCAAGTCTCGACTTCATCAAAATCAGCCGGCCAGCAAAGACGACGACGATGTTCCTATAAGTAACCTTCGGTGATAACCATGCACATGCCTACATTCTACTTATTTCCCACGCCCGCTCCCATACTCCCATTCCCATTGGAATCATTCTAACTTTCGTATCATGTACATGACTTCCGAGGAACAACTGCAATCTTCCCACACAAACACGAGTGGATTCGATTCCCGCACCGGAATCTACCACTCCCTCCTCCAACTCGGGGATAATCGAAACATCCCCACCACTCCGTACCTCGACACTGCTACATTTGTCTTGTCACAATTTCCGCAGCGGGACCAAGCAGAGTCGAAACTCGCTCTCATTGACTCGGTTACAAACAAGCGACTCACCTACAGTCAACTCCAACGCTCAATCTACTCGTTGGCAGCTGGCCTGCACCATGGACTTGGTGTCTGTAAAGGTGATGTCGTCTTTGTGTTGTCGCCAAATTCAATCCTCTACCCGACCATATGCCTAGCCATATTTTTGGTCGGTGGAGTCCTCACCACAGCTAACCCACTTAACACGGAGTCGGAAATAACCAAGCAAGTGCTTGATTCAGGTGCCAAACTAGCCATTGCTGATCCTCGGGAGGTCCATAAGTTGGCATCAACTAAGCTGCCTGTTCTCCTTACTTACCGTCCTTCCAGTGGGGATGAACTGTCTGTAGAAGAACTGATCGACAACTGTGGACCGATGGAGTTGCCGGAAACCCAATCAACTCAGTCGGATACTGCAGCAATACTATATTCCTCGGGAACTACTGGAGTGAGCAAGGGTGTTATACTAACACATGCAAATATCATTTCGGTCATGACGCTCCTAAAATGGTCGGTCGACAACACATCGGCCAACAATGACGTTTTTCTATGTTTCATACCCATGTTTCACATTTATGGTCTTGCGTTTTTCGGTTTGGGGCTGTTTTGCTGCGGTACTACAACGGTTTTGATGCAAAGATATGACTTCCAAGCCATGTTAGAAGCCATACACACTCATAAGGTCAATAACATACCAGCAGTTCCTCCAGTTATCCTAAATCTGGTGAAATACAAGGGTGGATACGACTTGTCGTCTTTGCGACGAGTGGGGTCAGGTGCTGCACCCTTGAGCAAGGAATTGGTGGATGCGTTCAGATTGAAGTTTCCGTGGGTTGCCCTCAGGCCTGGGTATGGGCTAACCGAGAGTTGTGGGGCAGCAACCTTATTTATTTCTAATGAAGAAGCCAAATCTCATCCTGCCGCTTCGGGAACTTTGCTACCGACTTTCTGTGCTAAGGTGGTTGATTATGAAACAGGAATTGCTATGCCGCCCTATAGAGAAGGAGAGCTATGGTTAAACGGACCAGCTGTGATGAAAGGTTATTTGGGAAATGAGGCTGCAACTGCTGCAACCATCGACTCAGATGGATGGTTGAGGACTGGAGATCTTTGTTACTTTGACAAAGATGGGTGCCTCTATATTGTCGATAGGATAAAGGAGCTCATAAAGCATAACGGGTATCAGGTATAGCCTCAAAGAGAACGAGTATGTGTGCGTTTTGAAATATGATGAAATGAGACATGGACTTTCTCTTTATTTAACACACTTTCACTAGTCGGGGCTCTTTACAGAATCAGTCATTCTACTCTTTGGGGTAGAAGTCAGGTCTGTGTGGATCCCACCCGGCCACCCCCCAAATCCCACCTCCTGGTGCTTGGGCTGGTTTGGTTTTATGAAATGACATGAACTTCATATGCAGGTAGCTCCAGCAGAACTAGAAGCCATACTACTAACCCATCCTCATATACTCGACGCAGCAGTCATACCGTGAGTTTCTGTGTGCTTGTGTGTGCGTGTGTTTTCAGGTGTTCTAAGAAATTTCTGCAATGTTGTAGATTAGAAGATGAGGAGGCAGGTGAGATACCTATGGCGTACGTGGTGAGAGAAGCTGAATCTCAACTTGGTGAAGACCAAGTCATTCAATTTGTTGCTAGTCAGGTTCGTCTAGACAACATCATTTCCGGCCCTAACGAGCTGCAACACGAATCATCTTGACTACAATTACTTACTTGCATGTTTCAGGTGGCTCCATTCAAGAAGGTGAAGAAAGTTTCCTTCATTAACGTAATACCAAAGTCTGCTGCAGGCAAGATATTGCGAAAGGATTTAGTGGCACAAAGCAGACGATATGTGAAGTCCAAACTTTAACAACCAAATTTTTGCTTCAATATGTATGCATTCGATCACAAAGCGGGAAAGTTTCAAGAAATGGATCTATCGTTCTATTGTTTTTATTAACCATATAAATAAGAATACTATAAGGGATTCAAGTTCTTATGTACAAGTAAACATTACATATTTACCTTTGTAACTCCTTGTGTAATCTACATTTCTTAGTAACATTGAAATCTGCAGAAAGACTAATATTAAGATTTCTGAATAGATAGGATAAAATGCAGAATGATGTTGAAAAATAGAACATGCCATCACTTCACTAACGAAGAAAAGTAAAATTATCTCGCAATTTACCTTTTAGACCAGCATCCTTCGTTCCTTGTTGCAACCAAAACATCTTCTTTGCAAAAGAACACTGCCTTTTGCAAGTATGAACAGTCATGGACAAAAATGTACAAGTATGATGCTTTTTTCTTTTCTTTTGCATTAACCTGTCTGCAGTTTGTCCAAAAACACTCATTTTTACCCAGTGTTTTTCTTCCTTCTTTGTTTTGCAGAAACAAGGGAAGTGATGATGGTTAGAAAAGTTGAATAATATTAAATTTTAACAGAAGAAATCAAGCAAACTTCACCTTGAATGATATCCAACAGGAGAGAAGGAAATTGCAGTCTTCGGCATTTGAAACTGCATCATAGCTGTAATCAACAAATCAAAGCATGAAAAAGAACATAACATGTGCAGAATCCACCAAGAACAAGAATAAGAATCAGTCGCTTCACAATCCTACAGGCTAAGAAGCATATCAGGGTGAATATTACATATACTGAAATAAGTCCATGAAAACCATCAAGAAAGCATGGTCAGATCATTCTGCCATTCTCTTTGAACAAGTCAATTAATTGAATAATATCAAATGCACAGAGTTGTGATCCGGAAAAAATGAAGAGATTTCAAACTTGAAAAGAAATTACCATTACATGGTCACAAAATGGTGAAGCTCTTTCTTGAATTTTGAAACATTCAAAAGAAAGCAGTGTATTGGGAGTATCCGACTTATATTGAATGAAATATTTGGTCTTTAAGGTGCTAAACTTGCAAGTTGATCCGTTTCATATCACCAATCTATCCAGATATCCACCTCCAAACTCCACCTGAACCCTGTCTTTGGTCAGTTGCAGCAAGCTCCATGTCCTGCTCGATTGCTGATTTTTGCGAGCGCAGTGTTTGAACCTCTTGCTCAATTGACTGCATTGATGATAGCATCTTCTGCAGCTCCAAGATCTGTGCCTGAAGTCACCATAATGAATGGATTGTAATATTACCATCACACACAATGAAAACTCAAATCAAACTTTTAGAAAATAATGGAGAGATGCAATCTTTTCAAATTCCAACAAGAGAATTTACTCCCTCCCATGAGCATTGCAACAAATTAATCTGCTTGTAGTTCAGAAAAAGTGTTTGCCTGTTAATCAAATGCCTAAGTTACTTCTTCAATAATGACTAAATAAGGACAAAAAAGCAATATTGCCAATTGGTAACAATTATAATGGGAAAATAGTTCATATAGCTTGAAAGTTGGCCGAAAAGGCACTAGCAATATGTATCATTACAAAGGAAGTTGTTGCAATTTCATTGGGTGGACAAATATTTACCATGAGAAAGAATATGTAATTTATAAATATTATACAGATCATTTACTGAGGATAGTAAAGAAAGGAAAAAAGAACCTCCAGATCAGCACATCTTGATTTCTCAGAAGCCAGTTGTCCTTGAACCGAATGCAATTCCTGCAGTAAGTTGATTATAGAGAATTTCAAAGTCATAACGTGAATAACAGAATTAGCAACCATCAACCAAGCATACCTTGGTTAAGTCTACACGAGTACCATTACATTCCACAAGCTTTTCCATCAGAGCAGAATTTTCTGTTTTGACCTCGGCAATGGACGATTCCAACATTTTCTTCTCTCCTTTGAGCACACCAACTTCAACTGAGAGATCCACTTTAGGTTTTGAATGCTCGATAGTTGAGAAGTCTAAGCTTTCAGACTTGGCTAGGGCATATGCAGCAGTTACAGAAGCTGCTGCAGCTGCAGCTGCTGGTGACTGAAAGATCTTTGGTTGTTTGGAATCTTTTGGTTTAGGCCTCATCACAAATACCTTTATTCATAGAAAGCACAGGGACCATATAAGAGAACAGTTTTACTTATGATGGATTAGTGAAATCAGAAAACGAAGAAATGAATTTGGAAGGTGATTAGTCAGAGAAAAATAAAGTTAGTAGGCATTTATACAATAACTAAAGTAGATCCTTATGATTGGATAACATGCAAGAAGTAAAGCCAAAAGATATCTACCAAAATATCTTCATAAAGCATATGCCACGTATTTTAGTTTCAGACAATCAAGCAAATAATGATTAAGAAAGCAGATTATTTTGTATTGATGTTGCAACCTGCCAAGGTCTCAAATGGGGACACGGAGCCTGAAGCGGAACTTCCTATTGGAGGAATAACTAGCATATAAGTCTATCCATTACAGCCTGTGTGGTGGCTGTATTTAATTTTCTTCTTCCAAGCCAACCCTTGTAACAACAACTACCACTATTTTTGGTTGGCTCTCCAAAATCATTACACATATTTCCAGGATAAATTTCACAACTTTACAATCCAAAAGAGCGGGTCTTTTAGCTATGATGATAGCAAAACAAACTTTGGGATAGTCATCTATTTCATTTTAATAATGATAGGGATCAATTCATTCCTAGTTTCTGCTACTGATCGTATCTAACAACCAACATGGTGGTGCTCTAGGGAGCACGATTGCTAGAGAAAGGGAGAAACAAAAGTAATGCTTTATATTCTTCATTTCTAGTCCCCCTTCCCAAATACATTGAGTGAGATGAATAAGGTTTAAAGTGGAAGTGCCAAAAATGGCTGAATATGACAGAAAAGTGGACTAGTTCCTTCGCAGAATCCCATGAAGATCAGTTAAATCATAAAGAACATATGTATTGCATCCCATAATGAAACAGACATGGAAACTAGGTCATGCTATATTCTCCATGGCGATAAAAACACACCTTGGCACTCTACTATCCTTATAATACACAATGTCCATAGATGCATGTATAGTTGGCTAGGAGAAGATAGATTTTCTTTAAACTACAACAATCACAATACCTCATTGTTGTATTTCCCATTATAGCCCCCAAAAGCAACCAAAAACTGCTCATCGTCTATTAATGCTGCTGATACAGAGAGCCCCTGTTTCATGTCAAATAGAGAATAAATAGGATGAAAATACAAACACCTCCTCGTGTGAACTCATAATTATTATCTTAAAAAAGAATATTGTAAATAACAAAGAAAATCATCTATATATAACAAAAATGTAGATCTACATTTTTGCAACGTTCACTCTTTCAATATAATGAAAAGGATAGATATGTAAACAAACTACAAGATATTGTAAACTAAACTAGAGCAACCACAATGATAGTAAAATCTTGAGCAGTATCTCAGGTGTAATCAACAGCTCAACATCCCAAGTAGAAGTTGGTTTGCTTATTCGAAAATCAGTATTCCAAATTAATGATAAGCAACGATATTATTGTTAGAAAGCTTCAAATACACTAAACTGCAATGAGATGTGACATTATATGAAGTTATGAACTAATGACTTTGTATCTTATCAAAGATAACATCTGCTTAATTCATGTCTGAAACCTCAACGGGTTGACCTACGATAAGGCTTAAAACCTTGATTGTAAGAGGTATCAAGTTCTAATCCCATGGGTGCTATCAACTTCTTAGGGGCCCATGCTATTCTCCTGAAAGCCTAAAGTTAGTTTGGTCCATGTGGATAGACACCATTGACTAATTGGGTAAAAGCTGTTAGGTATCACAGTAATTCAAAATATAATATTCATGTCTGAAGGAGTAATACTCAAGCTTTTTAAGTGCTTAAACAGTACAACCTAAATTCGTTTGCAGTTGTAGCAAATATCTGAAATGGTCGTAAGGAAATGAAACTAAGGGACTGAAAATACTCCAAAGCATTACACTTGCAAACAATCAAAATCAATGAAGACATAGAATAGTGACCTCACTGGCGAGTGGATCTCTTCCCTTCACATTTGTCAAAACTGAGATGGCAAGCTTGGGCATATCCATCACCAATGTTTCCGAGGCACCTGCAACAAAAGGTCATATCGAGATTGTATACAGAAATTTAAAACATAATCACGCTTCATATTTCATAGTGGGCAAGCTTGTTCTAGCTAATTTGCTCTTGTCCTATTTACATCCGTACCACTTCTATTATCGCCACCGCCAACCATAAACCACTTTTCATCGATAGATACCCCGGCATGGCCTGCCCTAGGAGACACCACATCCCCTTGAATCTGCGGTTGGGACCATTCTAACTGCAATACAGTAGAAAATTTATCATGCTAAAAGCAAGAGTTAAATTAGAAGTGAAGCACAAAAAGGTGTTTATTTGTATATGATATGTAGTACAACGACCACTTTGCCAACAGCCATTATTACAATATTTAATACAATTGTTGAGAAAAAGGGAGAAATTCTAGCGGTGGATATTTGCACATAAAGCTACACAAACTTGTCCTTGATACATGTACTCGTAAGTGATGACAATCCTTTCAGGTAAGTTGATGACAGCCAATGTTTCAGATGCAAGTTTAAATGGTTTTGCCATTTTATGCAGACCTAGCACTTTCCCTTTATTTTGTTTCATCTATGTTAATTTATGACAATTATGCAATGATGACCTTTTCAAGTCCTGATTAAGTCAGTGTACCTAGAGATTCTAAGACGCCTGGTGCAGTAACTGATGTAAGAGTTCATAGAGCCAATACAATTTTTACCTCTCTTGATTGTGGAATTTTAGTCATGGTGTATGCATGTGGGTCTTGAGGAAAAAGAAGTAGCTGACATACAATCTGCAGGGTCTAGGGATGCCATGGAGAAAATCTTTCCTTCAAAAATCTATCCCCAATGAACTATGCAGACAACTTTATAATCCTAGAACCAATTACCAAGGACTTACACATCCCTCTGCCCCATTTTCAACCAGCACCATCTTTAAGATGGAAACCATAAGGCAAGTATGCCATGACGAAATTGTTTAATTCATTATGTCATTATATTGTGAGGTGATGAAAACGGAACATGCCTTTGATAACTAGTGCTACTTCAACTTTATTGCTTATAATAAGAGAGACATGTCATTTCCATTTCTATTCAAAATGAACTTAGACTCATGTCAGATCCACAAGCACACACATATATTGATACTGGACAAGACTACACAAGACTAGAGTGAACTAGTTTTTTGTATGACTAGTATAGAATTAATTAGGACCCTGGGAACCGCCCAGAGTGTGCCACGTGTCCCTCTTCAGGATGAATATTCATCATGATGAATATGGACGTGTTATTCATCATGAAGCACACATTCATGATGAATGTTACAACATTTATGATGAATAACACGTCCATGTTCCTAGCGAATATGCCAAGTGTCGCGTTGTGGACGGTTCCCAGGTTCCTAATTAATTTTAGGGCCCTAAACGGAATTTGCCCTATATAATATTATTTATCTACCTAATATTTTTATGTTTTATATTATATATAGATATATAGACGTATAATATTTTATATCATATACAATTAAATAGACAATATATATATATATATATGTATATGTATAGTATATTGGTCAAGGAAGGTGATGCGGAAAGGAAAAATGAGGTAGAATTGTCCTTTGTTAAACAATCCCACCTTGTTCCACCTATTATGGTTGGAAAAAAAAAATATAATAACCATCTCATCTAATCCACTTCGTCCCAAGTCTACATCTTACCAAGCATGGGATGGGATAAAAGTTTTTTGTCCAGTTCTGTCTTGTCACGTCCCATGTACCAAACGCACACTAGGAGAATTAATTATCTGTAAAGTATATCTATAATATCCAAATTAAGAAGCTTGTTGCTTAATCGCATTACTGATTACTAAAGACTAAAGAGATCATGGACGTTGCTTTGACAATAGTTGTAATCGGGTAGACAGTAGTGATTATAATTGGTGACTGGAGGGGTGGTGTCATGGTAATGGGAATGCTAAAAATAATTGAAAGATATGAACTCCAATTTATTGTCCAATTTAGGTATAGGATTAAGGCACAAGATCAATATAGAATATTGGAGTCTGAAATCAGAAAATATGAGCTACTCAAGCTTCTAAGAACATATGCAATTGTTAAAAAAAAATATAGAACAGTTCTGTGCTAAAAGTGAAGGCGTAAACGTATATAGCATGAACTTTCACTCTTTTGAGTTTTTTCCTAATTGACTTCAACCGTCGATTACATTTACCTCCAGGTCATGGTCTCCTCATTAAAGATCCATATCATCTTTTACACTCATAGTACCTACGCTTACTACTTGGGACAGTGGTTAATGACCAGGTTATGTCAATCTGCACAGGCACTCTTTAAGTAAGAACCCTGCAACATGTACATCTCAAAACATCCATTAAGATTCTTACTCTGTAATTCATTAATCACCATCCAATTTCAGGTTAGATCGGTTATGTTCAATGGAAATAAAGTACCAGAGAGAAGGTATGATCAGAGAAAATCAGATAGTCCATGGAGAAACAATATAATCTGGGAAGATCACACCACATAAAGAAATCCTATCTCTAAGCCACTGCAATCCGATCAACCATATATAATCCTAGAATCCAAATGGTATGTAGTCAAGATGTCTCTTAAAGATGGGATTATTGTGGGACATGTGCAATTCACAGTACTGGTCAGCTGCTCTATGGTGGTGGTACTTGATGTTGTGCAAATGAAGGGTGACAGAAGTGCCAATGTGGTGGTGGAAGAGGAGTCATGCTAGTGATTGTCGATATATGTGAACAAAAAGGATTTCCTAATTGAGATAATAGCACAAAAAAATATAAGCACTTACAGTCTCCAAATCCAGCACGTGCAGATCATTGAAGAAAATTGAATGAGAACAGCCACCAAATATTTGCAGGTAGCGGTCCGCATGCACTGCGGCAGTATGATCAAATCTGGGAGCTGGAGGAGTCTGTCTATCAAAGCAGAAGAAATTAATGTATAAACTTTTTAAAGCATGCAATGAGAAGGGTATGTTAATCATGAAAAAATTATATCAATAAACTGATAGACAATGTTTGTAAATATACTTACATAGTCTCAGCAACATTCCAAGTCATAGTCGTTAGATCAAGAACGTGAACATCATTCATAAGTCTTCTATGTTTGTCCTCTCCACCAAACATTATGAGTTTCGAACCAACCAATGAAACAGATTGTCCACCACGAGCTACCTAAAAGATACACCACCAGGGTAACTAATGACCATTTTCACTAATTTCTACTCGGTGTACTTCGAAAATACATGTTATACACCCTCTACGCAGATTAAAGCAGCCACTTGAGCACTTTAGGTTGTCCCAATATCAATCAAAATAACTGTTGTCGAGAGCAATCCTGACTTCTCTTCCATAATTACTTTATTTTATGTGTCAAATGTCTTCACAATCCACTGAGAACATGCAACTCCTCTCTCTCTCTGTATATATATATAAGTGTGTGTGTGTGTGTGTGCATGATATAACATGAGAGAGAGAGAGAGAGAGAAGTTGAAGTTTTTAGTAGAGATAGAAAAAGGTGAATCTTAAATTTGGGTACACTTGGAGTTGGTGCCAAATATTGGGAAAAGACATACAAATGATATCCTTTCCATATGGTCATTTTGACTGGAAATGGAGAGAGTACAAATAATAACTAATACAGCATATAACATTAGATTCGTTAATTACCGGAACTTTTCCTGTGGCCTCCATCACCCCCCACATGTGTGACTCAAGATCAAAGAAACGCACTACAATAACCCGTAAAGTTCAATCAGAATTAAATGCTTATTGAGGGACAGAAGTCAGAATGGCTCTGTTGAGAGAGCAAACCTGTCACATTATCATAGGTATCCTTTGAGTGACCACCAAGGAAGAGGAGTGTGTTTCCCCACTTAACCTACATTAACGGGTGTAGTAAAGAGCCGAGTTAAGTGACAAAAGAAACTAGTACAGCTACATCATGGTGAATGGAAGTTACAGAAAATGCCACAAGATTGCTCACCATACTATGACCAGATATAGCAGGGAAATTTTCCAGTAGTGTACTATCTTTATCATTTTCAGCTTCTAATTTTGTGCTTAGTTTAATAGTTGACCAGCTTAAACTTTTCAGATCGAATGCCTGCAGCCACAAAACCACCTATTAGAAAACCTACAATGGAAATAGGATTACTTGTGATAAGCAAATATATGTTGGCATAACAATAAAGATACCTGCACATCAGATAAGTATCGCCCGTTACGACTTCCACCAACAATGTAAAGCTTCTCATCAACAACAACTGCAGCATGCTACAATGAAAGAAGAAAATGACATATAAGCAGAGGAACGCAAAGATAATCCTATAACAAATAATATATATATATATATATATATGTGTGTGTGTGTGTGTATAATACAGTTGACAACATCTATGTGATGTTCGATTTATAGCTTCCAAACTCCTAGCAGAAAAGATATGAGCAAACCTTATAGCGAGCTGATGGTCGTCGCCCAGCTACTGGGAGGGCAACCCATTGGTCAGAGTCTAAAAGCGAATGCCAATTGCGGCTATCTGTTGCCATGTTAGCTTTCCTTGAGATCAATGAGCTTTGTCTGATTAAAGAACCCATCAGTTATAGTAACAACTAAGAAGAGCAACATAAATTATGACTTCTTCCATCCCATAAAAATCGAAAGTTTTAACTAGTTACATGGTTCAGTAAACTAAAATTTATACCATCAGTGAATTTTTACGATGATAACAGGCAAACAAGTAAATTTAGCTTGAACTTTTACCAAAAAAAATGTTGCAATCAGAAGGGCACATGCTTTGGACAATTCATCAGTTGATTTGATTCATTTGATAATGAACTTTTGCATCCCAAGGGGCTCGGGAAATGTTTGCCTTATCACTTTACTCGGTCTCGAGTAAATCACAATTACACCAAATTTATGATTACACTAAAATCACCAACATCCTCTAAATCTAATCCAGTCTACACTAATATCAAATCCTATTAGTTCCATTTCACAACCGCACTCTACATATCTTGAATTTACCGATTTCAATCCATACTTTATACTTGAGTTCAAATTGTAGTTTCCGTCTTAGCCACCATTCTCCCTCGACGGAACACAATCATTCATAATCCAACCAAATTAAAAAAACCATTCACCACTACATTTACTAAAAACAGTAGATCACACAAAGTACATACAAGATTGGGAGTTTAAGCGATACTTACCCAAAATCGTGTCGAATTTCTTCGAGATTTCCTTCAAATCAAATTGATTATAAGTAGAAGAGAAGAAAAGTAATGCACCGAAATCAAGCGGCAATCGTGGCCGCCAGTCCGATCACGATGGCAGTTTGATCTAGATACTGAGACGAGAAACCGTAATGGGGGGAAGGTAGTCGTCGGTTGTACTTGTACCTTGTTCGGATATCCCTTTTTGCAGAGCTGAATTTTACATATCCAAGATACTGTCTAACTGTCGATGCAGTTGAGATTCTGAATTTTAGAAAAATTGATCTACACAAAATTTACTTTAAAATTCATTTTCTCGCTTTATTTGAGGAATTTTCATTTTTTTTTCTCAAATCAAAAGTTAAATTTTTTAAAAAGAAATTTTTATTTAAAGAAAATAGATTTTTTATTTTTAAAATTTCAACATTAATTATATTATTAAATAATATTATAATTTTAATACACTTCTTAAATAAAACCTTATTTAAAATAGGGAAAAATCTAAAAAAAACCAATGTACTTTAATGTTTGGAATGATTAAGTTCTTGAACAATTTTTTGAAACAAATAAGTTCTTGGACATTTTAAAACATGTTAAATAACTCATTGGACTTTCTAAAACATGTTAGATACATTTTTATGACCTATACAACTGGTTAATATGGTAAAATAATGAATTTTTTTTTTGAAAACAACCAATAAACTTTCATATTATAAATGATTTAAATTCCCAAAAGAATACTTACATTTACGAAAAAAAAATACTTACATTTAAAAAAGATTATTGATAAACTTTATTTTAATTAAAAATAAAATATATTCTCTCAGTAATTTTTTAAACTAAAAAAATAAAAAATAATAAAAA